GGGGATGGGTGCGAGCGGCTCCGGGCGCTTGGGCTCCCCTCAGCTTCAGGTGTCCCCAGGTGTCCCCAGCCTCTGCACCGCCTCCTGTTGTGGTGGCGTTAGACTGGAGGATTCATGCCTAACGCGAGGCGTGAGTTAAACTATTGACGTTATCTCTTTGTTACCGTTATTTCCCCAGCTGTTTTCATCTCAAATTCATCACGCAGAAGTTAGGAAAGCTTGCGTCTCGTATATGAGGCAGCACCAGTCGAGATTTGAATCCGTAAGTACCCCGAGTTCTGTGTCTGAGCTGGGTGCGTGCGGTTGGGAAGTGCTGTGGGAGGGGCTCAGTAGTTTAGCACCGAGAACACGATGGTTTGGCGCACTTGATGCTTGAAAGACGGGAAATGACAGGGTGATTGCTTCCTTATGCTGAGTTGCAGTTACACAAGTTTTACTTGCCTTTGGTTATGAAGTTTCTGAAACCAGTTAGTAGTGAATGGGGCAAGTTATTTGTGTAGCATATTCTCTGTGAAGTGACCATTGCAGAATTTAGTAGGTGGGAAATGTGTAGGTTTCTGGAGCAAGAAATTCATATCAAAAGATGGTGGGAAATTCTGGAATAATTTCATAAAGTCATGGAGTTTTGAGATACGGTTTTTGGTTGGTTTTCTCTGTGGCAGTTTGTGTGTGTGCATTGTAGTGTTGTAGGGTTTTGAGGTGTTATGGGGCTTTTCATTGTTTTCTCTCTAATCACATTGAAGTTCCTCATTTAATCTAGGAGGAACTTGAATATTACTTGGACTCATATCTTTAATGTTTTTTAGGATCTCTTGGTATTCTCACCTTGATACCCCAAATCATTCCTATGTTCAATGTGCCTTGCCCCTTCCAAAACAACAGCTGGTAGCTATTAAGTAGTGTCTAGGTTTAATTTTGACTTTGCTTTCTAACTGCTGTAATTTTTATATCTGTTTTCTTCTTTGTTGTTTTTTTTTTTTTTTGAAGTATGTGGAAGGCTCATTTGAGAAATATCTAGAACGACTAGGAGATCCAAAGGTAAGCCTGATTTGGGACTTATTAAGAGATTTAAATTTTAAGAGAAGAGGAAGGTAGTTATTTGAAATGTGGTTATTTGAGTTTGAGGGTTTTTTTTAGATAGACCCAGGTCTTGGGGAATCAATTACATAAGTAATACTAAGGGTTTGTACTGATAAATGTGAATAAAGTGTACATGTGTAAACAATACCAGTTTTAGTAGGGAATTTGCATGGGTGCAGAGGAGCAGTCCAGTCTCTGCAGGCTGGACAGTAAAAAGCTTATTCCTAACTGTAACTCTTTAAGAAGAAACAAAAATAAATATGTGGCATGTATCTTAAATGAAATATCTGTCAGGCTTTACAATTCCCTGCTTCTTCCTTTACTGTTCAGATTTCTATTTCTTTAGTCTTTATCCAGTAACCTTGGTGAGTGCAGCAGTTTCTGAAACAAATGTGGGTTTAAAAAAAAAAAATCTAAAGTGATGTGTTGGAGCAGCTCAGTCTTAAAAATTTTGGTAAATGTGGCCACCCTATGTAGCAGACTCCTTTTACCTCACTCCTCCCCCAAATCCTTATATCTCAACTTTCAGTGCATTATTGCTTTAACAAACTGATGATTTTGAACAGATGTTTTAGTAGTACAGAATTCTAATATTACAGAAATGTATAGAATATAGTTGTTGATGTTTAGATTCTTCTTCTATCTCACATAATCTCATCATATTGCATAGGAAAGTGCTGGCCAGCTGGAAATAAGTGCCTTATCAATGATGTACAAGTAGGTACCCCTTTCTTAAGGTTTACTTTGTTTTGCCCTTTGGTGTGGGGATTCTAGCCCCAAAACTTTGTGTGTTTGCCACTGAGAGGTGAATGTATGAAACAGGATGAAAAATGCTTCCCTAAAAACCTTAACTGACATGTAAATGGTGCCATCACAGCCCCTGTTCTAATGGGGGTTGAGGGCAGGGTCAGTTTCCAGAAATCCTTGTTTGCTATCATTTTGCTGATATTAAACTTGAATGTCAGGTGTTTGCTTCTAGTGGTTGAAGACTGGAAAATGGGCAAAACTGAGGAGCTGTGTGCAGTGCAAGCACTGTGTGATAGCTACAAGCATGGCTAAAACTCATGTAGGTGTTACTGAAAGCTCCAGCAGTGAGGATTACCTGCCCTACCTGGTGTGTAAACACTGCTGTTTATTTCAGAGGCAACACAGAACTGTGCAGGTGCTGCTGTCTTGCTGAATTAAGCTAATTAAATGATGCCAATTGTAAAAAGCAGTCTGACTCTCTAGTGGTGGGAGATAAAAGCCTCCTTTTGCAGCCTCACTCTGTCCCAGTACTAAAGGAGCAATTGAAGTTTGGCAAAAATCACTAGCTCCCTGCACTGAGATTCTAGTCCTTTTGTAGGGTGCTTAAATCACTTAGACTGAATAGTAAGAATAGGAATTAAGTGACTAGTAAAAACAGTAGAGCAGGAATTACTGTTCTTACTGAATAGTAAGAATAATTACTGTTCCTGTTCTTACTGAATAGTAAGAACAGAAAAGCAGGAATTACTAGCTCCCTGCACTGAGGTTCTAGTCCTTTTGCAGGATGCCTTAATTACTTAAACTGACTAGAACACCCTTCTGTAAGTGTAAGTACTTGACTTAATCTATGAGTAATCGTCATGGCCTTTCACAGATAATTTTTGTTTCCCTCTCAAGATAGGTTTGCTCATCTGGCTATTCCTTTATGGTAGCATTCATTTATCGGGGAAAGTGCTTTGCTTGATTTTTCTGTAAACCAACAGCTCTGAATTGCTCCCTGGAAACTTCTTCATAAGATGGTTTACTGAGAGTGTGCTCTTGCAAGTCTTGTTTTCCCTCTGCATACCTAGGCGAGACTTCATAGTGTACCGGTACCCTGGGAAGGCACCCACACGTGCTACAGACAATGGCTTTGAAGACAAGGTCAGTAGAAGTGAGGGAAATCTCCTGCTGTTCCCCTGCCAGTCTGTTCCTTTACTTTCACTGAAGCTGGATGGCTTGTCTAATTTTTTCCCTGAGAAGGGGAAGTTAATGGGAAGGGATGATTGTAATAAATTGATTGATTTTTGTGACCTACAAACTGATCCCAGTTCAGAGTGAGAGTTACTGGAACAGCTTATCTACATCAGAACTGCTGATAGTAGTAGGAGCCAAAGGAAGGAGCATAAAGACAACTACTGTGTATTACCTTGCATCTGGCCCCTCTGGAGCTGTGTAGATGTGGGTGCACAATTATGTGGCTACTTCAGGCAT